TGGGAGGCGGGCGTCTGGTGCAGGCCGTGTGGCCTGGGACTGAGTCCCGCAGGGCTGTAAGTGCTGGCTGGGGGCCCACTGCCTGGGGAGGGGCAGGGAGGCCCTCTCACAGGCTCGTGCACATCCCGCCCTGCCCCGCAGGTCCCCGGCTGTCTGGAGGCCACAGCCTTCATGAAACGTCCACGGTTCTGGTGGAGACCGTGACCAAGTCGTCCTCAAGCCGTGGCTCCAGCTACAGCTCCATCCCCAAGTTCTCCTCGGATGCCAGCAAGGTGGTGACGCGGGGCCCCGGGCTGTCCCAGGCCTTTGTGGGTCAGAAGAATTCCTTCACCGTGGACTGCAGCAAAGCAGGCAGGCCTGAGGGGGGAGAGGAACGTGCTCTCTCGGGGTGGGCTCGTGTGTGCAGGGGCTGGGGGTGGGAGCAAGCAGCAGCCAGGAACAGGGTGCGGGCCGCGGGGGCCCAGCGTGAGTGTGTCCCTCCGCCTCCTCTCCAGGCACCAACATGATGATGGTGGGTGTGCACGGGCCCAAGACCCCCTGCGAGGAGGTGTATGTGAAGCATATGGGGAACCGGGTGTACAACGTCACCTACACTGTCAAGGAGAAAGGGGACTACATTCTCATCGTCAAGTGGGGCGACGAGAGCGTGCCCGGAAGCCCCTTCAAAGTCAATGTGCCCTAATGCCAGAAGTGCCTCCCCCAGCCTCCGCCCCCTCCTCCGGCCAGACACACACAACACACACACACATACACACACACACACGCCACACCCAGATGCACACGTGTGGAATGAGACACTGCCAACGCCTGCCCTGGGTGTGCAGCGAACGGCTCAGCCTCCCCACCCTGCTGCCGTGCCCTTGATGGGTGGAGTGCCTTGTCTTGTCTCAGGACAGTGTCCCTCCCCTTGAACGTGGCATGAGGGCAGACTGGGGCCAGGCCCGGGGACAAAGGCTGGACAGGGGGTTGGGCAAGCCCTGAGTCCCCAGGTGAGCACATTGTTGGAGGTGTCTGTGTGTGTGACAGATGTCATCCTTCAACCACACTGCTGGCCCCGGGTGGGCGGGGAGGGGAAGGCCTGCTCTGAGGATTGTGTCTGGCCCCCCTGGTGGTCACATCCCCAGCGTGGAAGGACTTGGAAAAGAAGGCACAATCAGAGAAGAAAACAGACCCGGAGCGAGAGCCCGTGGACTGCCCGAGCGATGCACACCCCGCCCAGCCTTCCCAGGGGACTGATTTCTCTCTCCGTTTTTTCTTTTTCCTTTTTTTTTTTTACGGTTGCACAGCTCTGCCCCATGGGGGGCCTTTTTTACACACTGCGAGGCCCAGCTTTCTGGGGGGATTTTTGCACATGTCTGCGGCTCATCTGGGAGCTGCCTAGGTAGAAAACTCCAAATAAAGTACGGCTGTCGCAGAGGCTCGGCTGTTGCTTGTGAGTGCGCGCCCCGGGCTGGCGGCCTTCCAGCCTCTCGACACTGCGGTCCTGGGCAGGCGGAGGCTGGATCGCCATCCCCAGAGGACAGGCCCGGGCTCGGGCAAGATCTGGGCTGTTGGCCTAATGCTTGGAAGAACCTGTGATGGCCGCTTGGGGATGAGGGCTTGGTCCTTAGCTAGAGGGTTGGTGGCTAGTACGGGGCAGGGGTGGGGGGACTCCATGTCTTAGAAGACTGCCCTAGATGGCTAGTTCTAGTTCATCCTGTCCTCAGTGTCTGGATCAGACTGGGCCTGCGCTACCCCCACCTGTAGCCCTGAGCTTGCCTGGGCCCGGATTCCTGGACCAGCCGCCTCCATTAGGCTCCCCCGGCCCTGGCCAGCTCCCTCCAGCCCACCCTCTGGGCTGCAGCTGGAGGAGGGGCACCCTGAACGCACTGTGGCCGGCTGTGGTTTGTGCCTTTCTGTGGCTCCCTCTTGCCCCCGGCTAACACCTACTCTTCCAGGCCGAGACCCAGGAGGCTCACTGCCAGCCCCTCCACCGGTGCGACTCAGGCAGTGTGCCCACTCCACACCATCCACTCCAACCCCTCCTCTCGGCCTCATGCGTCCCCCATTCCTCTTGGCCAACAGGAAGCTGCCTGGCCCCCTCCCTGGCTCAGCAACCCAGCCTCCATACGGCCCAGGCTGCATTCACCGTTCTGATCTGGCCTCTGCCGCCAGACAGCTCCTGGCCAGGAGGCCCTTCTGTGGGTGCCAGTGACTCAGTTCAAGAGCACCCGAGAGGCTGAGCAGGCCCAGGACCCGCCTTGCTCGGTGGGCCTGGCTACCCCATGCCGGTCCCCAGGCATTGTGGCGCATGGTGGCAGGTGCACCAGGGAAGACCCGAAACACTTGTAGCTGCAGCTGGTAACCACCTCCTCCCCGCCTCCTCACCCTCACCTTCCCGCTCAGGGAAGGAGGGACCCTGCCCTCCTTGCTCTGGACCCTGCCCCCAGGCCCCGCAGGAAGCTCCTGAGGACAGAAGTTCCCTTTTACCAACCCTGTGTCTTCGGCCCCTGATGATAATCCCACTTGATAAAGGGTGGCTGCAGGAAGGAGCGAGCGGGTGATGAGTGTGACGCTGTCCCTGCCCCTTCCGTGACTGGCAAGCGCATGGAAGGTGCTGTGTCCTATTAAGCACCCGGCACTTGTGACCCCCGCAGGCCAGCTGGGCGCCAGGCACTGCGCCCAGGGCTCGGGGCAGGCCCTTCCTCCCACCCCTCCTGCCCCCCGCCCTTGCACGGAGGGCTTCCTCTGAGGGTTTGCTGCCTGCCGTCTGTGTGTGTGGGTGCATTTCCGGGTCTCCAGCCCAGCCGCTCGGGGCTCTGGGTACTGAGTATTCATGGGCCCTTTCTCACTTCATCCCCAGAACAGCCCTGTGAGGTGGGCGCAGGATTAGTTGAAGAAACCCGGGCTCTGAGAATGGAGGTCCTGGGCCCAAAGCCACCCACTGCTACGTGAGGGGCCCGCATTCAAACGCAGGGGTGTGCACACCCCAGGCCTCTCGTGGGCCAGCCATGCGGGCATCTCACGCGCTCCTCACACACAGCTCGTGCCCGACGCTGGGGATGTCGTTTGTTGAAAGGGAAGATAAATGAGTGGTCCTTTCCCCTTCAACCTCCTCATCTCACAGAGTCCACTATTTCCGGAACATTCCTCATGTCATTTAGCCGCACACACCAGAAACCTGGGAATCACCTGGGCGCCTCTCCACCTTGCTCTCCACATTCGACTCAAAAACCAGTTTCGGGGGTGGGTGTTTGGCACAGCTGTTAAGATCTTGCTTGGAACTCCTGCACCCCCATGTTGAAATGCCTGGGTTCAAAACTTTACCGGCTTTACTCCCAATTACAGCCTCTTGCTAATGCAGACCCTGAGAGGCCACGGGTAATGGCTCGAGTAATTGGGTTCCAGTCACCCACACGGGAGACTTGATTGAGTTCCTGGCTCCCAGCTTTGGCCTGGCCCAGAGCTTACTTGCTCGCTCACGCACTCTCTCTCCCCTTGTCACCCAAATAAATAAAATAAGCAAAAATCAGTTTGGGAGCAGGTGCTTAGCCTAGTGGTTAAGACACCAAACTCTGGGCCCAGTGCTATGGCATAGCGGGTAAAGCCACCGCCTGCAGCGCCAGCATCCCATATGGGAGCTGGTTCAAGTCCTGGCTGCTCCACTTCCAATCCAGCTCTCTGCTATGACCTAGGAAAGCAGTGGAGGATGGCCCAAGTGCTTGGGCCCCTGCACCTGCATGGGAGACCTGGAAGAAGCTCCTGGCTCCTGGCTTCAGATTGGCCCAGCTCTAGCTGTTGCAGCCATTTGAGGAGTGAACTGGTGGATGGAAGACCTCTCTCTCTGTCTCTCTCTCTCTCTGTGTCTGCCTCTCCATAACTCTGCCTTTTAAATAAATAAATAAATCTTAAAAAAAAAAAAAAAAGACACCCAAATCCAGGGGCTGGCATTGTGATGTAGCGGGTTCACATCCCAGCTGCTCCACTTCCAATCCAGCTGCTTGTTAATGGCATGGGAAAAGCAGCAGAAGATGGCCCAGTGTTCGGTCTCCTGTCACCTATGTGCATGTGGGAGACGCAGATAAAGCTCCTGACTCCTGGCTGTGGCCTGGCCCGCATCCCAGACAGGAAGACCCGAGCTGAATTCCCGGCTGCAGCGTCCTGACAACGCACACCCTGGGAGGCAATGACTCCAGTAACTGGTCCCTGCCACCCCCAGGGGAGACCTGGGTCACATTACCAGGTCCTGGCTCTGGCCCAGCGCAGCTCTGGCCGTTGCAGGCAGTGAAAGGGGGCTTTCTCTCCATGTCTGCCTCTAAAACAATTAGGGTTTGTCCATTCTTCTCCAGCCACCTCCTCTATGACCACTGCTGGAAATCGGCCACCATCTCTAACCACAGAGGCGTCCCAGTGTGCTCTCTGCTCCTGCAGCCCCGCCTCTGTGCACCGCAGTCACACGGGCAGTTCTAGAACCGCTGTCCTCAGGGAAACCTCCAGATTCTTTAAATTTTCCTGAATGCCCTATACTCTCCAGTGCAAGTGGTTTTTGCCTTACCTTGAACACTTAAGATGGGTGCAGGGGCCCAGGCACTTCAGCCATCTTCCGCTGATTTCCCAGGCCATGCAGGGAGCTGGATCGGAAGTGGAGCTGCCCGGACTCGAACCAGTGTCCATTTGGGATGCAGGCGCTACTGGTGGGTGCTTAGCCTACCACGTCACAGCACCTGCCCCTCAGTTTAACTTCTAATTCCATTCTCCCACAAACTTTCTGTATTCAGTAACTGTTAACTATGAGTCATGGCTACATACATACATACATGATACAGACATGTTCTTGCCCTTGAGAACAGCGAGTGCAGTTTCTCCTGCGGGGTCCCACAGCGCTGCTTCTGCAGAACGAACCAAGCAACGCCAATAGGAAGCCGTGCGGCCGCTCAGCCTTCTGGGAATCGTAGTCCTCGGGTTCGGCCTCTCTTTATGGCGCAGGCGTATTCAGGTTGAGGCGGCCTTGCTGTTAATGCGCATGTCCTGGAGGCGGTGTGGCCGAACTGCGCATGTCTGAAAGGCGGGGGCGAGGCCAACCCGGCTACAGGTGCGGAAGCTGGGATTCGGGGACTTCGGGAGCTCGGGGCTGCTCTCTGCGCCGCGACCAGGATGGCAGGGAGGGGAAAACTGATCGCGGTGATCGGAGACGAGGACACGGTGACTGGCTTCCTGCTGGGCGGCATCGGGGAGCTTAACAAGAACCGCCACCCTAATTTCCTGGTGGTGGAGAAGGACACGACCATCACCGAGATCGAAGACACTTTCCGGTACGGTCGCCTGAGAGGCCTGAACGGGCCCTTCTGCCGCCTGGGTGGGAGCGAAGGGGCGAGGGGCGGCCGCCCGGGGACCGAGGTGTCAGACCCCGACCCGAGGGCGGGCCTCCTCACGCCGGCCTGGAGGCCTCTGCGCCCCCCGTCCCCCGTTCCCTCTTGCGACTCGGTGGGCCTGAGGCTGTGGTCGTGACAGGTCCGCGCGCTCCCTCTCACATGACCGTGTGTCAGGAAAGAAGGGGAAGAGAGCTGGTGACGGGCACAGCCGGCTGCGAGCCTTGCAGGCGCTGGGCTGCTTTGCGCTCGGTGCGCACCCGTGGAGCCGGGCTTTCTCCTACTTCCACATCCTCTAGGGGCTCCCAGTCGACCTGGAAGGTGGGGGTTAGTGTTCCCATTTACAGGTGGTGGTACCCAAAGTCAGGGCTGCTCACACCTTGCACCTCGCGTCCTCCTCTCCTGCCCTGGGTCAGGGGCGACGGTCGCAGCTGAGCCTTTTAATCCGCAGGTGTCCTGGTGCTAGAATGGAGCTGCCCTGGTTCCTTCACCCCTTCCCTTTGCCGAGTCTCAGGAATTCTCTCACTTGTTTCCCCCTAAACAGCCCAGCCCACAGCTGCTGGCTGAAACCAGTTCCTGCTGCCTGGGGTACCGTGGGGCTTTGCCCTGGGGAGGCAGCTGTCTGCGGATCACCAAGCAGTCTGGCAGGGTGACCCGGGTTGTCATGGGACAAGGAGGAATTTTACTCCAAGGATTGTCCATGCTTCCAACCAAAAAGAAACTTCGAGATCAAGCGTGGCCGGGCACAGGGTCGGGCACAGGGTGGGTGCCCAGGACGGAGCTCTTCCTGAGAAATAACACACGGGCCGTCCCGGGCCAGGGCTCCGCAGGGCCAGGGCCGTCTGTGCGGAAAGTGCGAGTCTTTCGGTGCTGAGTTCCCCTTCCCACCTGTGCTTTGGCCTGGGCCAGGCACCCCGTCCTCCCTTAGCACAGACATGGCGACCTTGAGGCCCCCTGGGTCCTGTTTTTCGAAAATGTAATGGATTTGGTTTCCTCTGGACATTGAATGCCTTCATGTGGTTTCCAATTCAGTTTTTAAAAGGTATACATTGAGGCCGGCGCCGCGGCTCAATGGGCTAATCCTCCGCCTTGCGGCGCTGGCACCCCGGGTTCTAGTCCCGGTCAGGGCACCAGATTCTGTCCCGGTTGCCCCTCTTCCAGGCCAGCTCTCTGCTGTGGCCCGGGAGTGCAGTGGAGGATGGCCCAAGTGCTTGGGCCCTGCACCCCATGGGAGACCAGGATAAGTACCTGGCTCCTGCCATTGGATCAGCTTGGTGCGCAGGCTGCAGCGCACAGGCCGCAGCGGCCATTGGAGGGTGAACCAACGGCAAAGGAAGACCTTTCTCTCTCTCACTGTCCACTCTGCCTGTCAAAAAAAAAAAAAAGGTGTACATTGAGGAGCCTCCTGCCACACACACACACACACCCCATCTCCCTGTCTGCTCCTGTAGACAGCCATTTAGCTTCTGCCTGATCACTCTCCTAGCTCTTTATGCAGATAGGAAGGGATGCATAGTTGCTGGCGCTGGGGCACAGCGGGTTGAGCCGCCGCCTGCAGCGCTGGCATCCCAAGTCCAGGCCGAGTGGCATCTTAACCGCTGAGCCGAATGCCCGCCCCACACGTATCCCCACCCTTCCCTGTCTGATAGCAGGGCAGCACCCTGAGCGCACGCGTGGACACCCTCATCTTCAGCTTTGGTTCACTTGGAAGCTTCCCAGGCAGGGGCTGTACAAGCGGGCCCTGGCTAACAGAACCCTGAGCTCTTGAGTGAAATTGATTCTGGGTCAAGCAGGCTCCACCTTTGCCCTGGTCCTCTCTGCTCCCCGGGTCACTCCTCTTCCTCTGCAGTTCCGAGCGGGCCGCCGGGAGCTGCCCCGGACTCGCTTCTCGTCTCTCCCGGCAGGCAGTTTCTCAGCCGGGACGACGTCGGCATCATCCTCATCAACCAGTACATCGCGGAGATGGTGCGGCACGCGCTGGACGCCCACCAGCGCTCCATCCCGGCCGTGCTGGAGATCCCCTCCAAGGAGCACCCCTATGACGCCGCCAAGGACTCCATCCTGCGCAGGGCCAGGGGCATGTTCACCGCCGAAGACCTGCGCTAGGACACGCCCCGCGGAGCACGGCCCTCAGCCCCTCCCGCCCTTCCAGGCCTCTCCCCGGCTTGTCCCCAGCCCCGCTCTGAAGGTTCAAGCCTCTGATTTCCACGTCTCCACTCCTTCCCACCCCAGGGAGAGGCTGTGTGAGGGGCATCTAGGTTGCTGGGATGCTGCTATTAAAAGCCGGGCTGGTTAGGGAACAGGAGGCCTGACCGTCTTCTCTCTCCACGACCTCTTCCCCGTGCTGTCGCCCAGTGTCGTTGTCCATGTTAAATTAAAGTAATATTCTGACTTCTGTCCAAAAACTGGGCCTGGGTACTGGACAGGAAGTGGGGGGGGGGATGAGGCTCCTGGGGGAGATGAGATTGGCAGGGGTGGAAAATGTTCCACCAAGGACCAGGCATGGACGAGCTGGCCCAGGAAGATGTGCCAGGAGGCCCTAACTCAGGCACTGGCCCTCTGGTTCAAAAAGACCAGCTGGGGGGGTGGGTACGAGGCTTGAACCCAGCCTGTGGCTCTCCCGCCTCAGTCTGCACTGGGCAGAAGGGGGCCTGAGCCGGGGGAAGTTAGCAGAAAGCACAAGAAACCTGGGAGCCGGTGATACCAGATCCTGCCCGGGGCCTGCAGCGCCAGCCGGTGTCAGGATCCCAGCACTGGGCCCGGGCTCCAGGCTGCCTCAGGAGCGGGGCGTGTGAGGTCTGTGTGGGCGCAGCAGGTGGAACCCTGCCCCTGTGTGAGGTGAGGCCTGGTTGCCTGGTGACTGCCCCAGGGCGGCCACCTGCTGCCAGCCGCAGTGTGCTTGCCGTGCTCGCCCTTGGCACGGCTCCCCCACCCCCTGCCGCCATGTCTCGGCAGCTCAACATGGACACGCTGCGGCAGAACTTCTGGAAGGAGGACTATTTAAGGGAGAAGATGTTGCGCTGTGAATGGCACCGCAAGTACGGGTCGCTGGTGAAAGCCAAGCAGAAGGCTAAGGCCGCAGCCCGACTGCCCCTGAAACTGCCCACCCTGCAGCCCACGGCCCCACCCGCACCCCCTCCTGCCCCCGGAGCAGCCCCTCCCAAGGCGCCCAGCCCTGCCGCAGAGGCTCCCCTGCAGTCGGAGATGTGCCCGGTGCTGCCCGCCACCCGGGCCCTGCTGTACGAAGGCATCTCCCACGACTTCCAGGGCCGCTACCGCTACCTGAGCACGCGCAAGCTGGACTTGCCCGAAACACGCTACCTCTTCCCCATCACCACCAGCTTCACATACGGCTGGCAGCTCGGTGAGCCCTGAGCCCCGCAGGTTAGGCACCTGCCCCACAGCAGCGCCAGGTGCCAGGGAGCAGGCACATTCAGGAAGAGAAGGGAAGGTACAAGAGGGACAGGCACCATGGAGAGGTCTGGGGGCTCGGGAGAGGCCTCTGGGGCCTGAAAGCTGAGCACTGCATGACAAAGAGGAGTTGGGATTTTATTGAGAAGCCAATGGAAGGTTTTAAGCAGTGGGTGGTCCTGATTGGCTTTTTTTAAAAGAATTACCCCAACTGTTCTATAGGGAATGGCTTTTTTTTTTTTTTCCTTTAGTGAGAATTGGAGACTGGTGAGTTAGGCATCTGTGTTGAGTTATCCTGGCATGAAATGACCGTGACCTGGGCTAAGGCTTAGCAGTAGCGCTGCAATCCAGGGTACTCCGGAGGAACACTCAGTGGGACTCACTGCTGGACTGAGTGTGGGAGTAAGGAGCCGAGGGAGTCCATGGCGGTGCCCCGGTGTGGCTGGAGCTGCTGTGACAGGATAGGGCTGGCGAGGGCAGGGCTGGAGGGTGCGCTGGCTCCAGGGCTGTGCTTGGGTACCAGGGAGACAGCTGTGTGCGTCAGTCTGGCTCTCAGGAGTGAGGTCAGAGTTGAACGTACAGTCAAGAGTAGTCATTATAAGTGCTACTTAGCTCTGTGAGGTCAGGGACGTCAGCTGGGGCGCCCAGGCTGCGGGGATCCGATAGGAGGGGCGGCAGATGGAAGGCCAACCGTCTAGACCATCTAGAACCGTGTGTGTTTGCCTGAGGCTGGGAGGGGAGGAGTCTGGGGAGTGGCGAGGCTGAGATGAGTCAGTGTGTGGGGAGAGGAGTGGGCCGGCAGGGCTGCTGCATCCCTTGGCTGTCTGTGCTCCTGAATCTCAAGTGAGACTGTTCAGTCCTGGTCTGCACCTCAGGAGTGTCTGTGCAGGAGGGGAGGTGGCTGGGCTCATCACCATGGAGACTTCACCCGAAAACTTCCCGTATCTTCCCCAGCTCGTAAGGGTATGATTAAGGGAGCGACCGCTCAACAAAAGCAGACACTAGATGGCAGCTGCATGTCTCCCAGTGCGTCCCTGTGGTGGGCAGGGCCAGGTGGCCCCTCCCCCGGGAGAATGCTGAAGCTGTGGGCAGTGGTGACAGGCGGCTGATCCCGGCCTGCTACCCTGGCCGCATCCAGTGTCCACTCCTGTATCTCCTTGTAGCCCACAGTCCTCACAAGTTCTTTATTTCTCCACACAAAGTTCACACAACATGGACAGGGTTGTGGGCTGTGCAGACAGACGGGGCTCCCCTGCTCTGTCGGCCTCTTGCCCAGGAACCCATTCCTGGCCCCTGGTCTCTTCCCAGGCCCCCCAGCGAAGCAAGAACTGGTCTCCTGCAAGATGTGCCGCATCGAGTCGTTCTTCCGCAAGAACGGGGCCTTTGCTCTGCTTGACCCCCGGGACCTGGCCCTGTGACCTTGGCCCAGGCCCTGGGCTTAGGACAGAGAAGAATAACAGCCTTGTGCTGGGGAAGCCGCTGTGAGTCTGTGTCTGCTCCCCCCGGCCTGGGGCCACGTTCTGAGCCTGCTGGGACCCATGTCTTTCCTGCAGGTTGCCCTCTTGCTTTTTCCTTAACTCGCATCCCCTTAATCATTCCCTAGAGGACCCAGCAGTGACCAAAGGGGGCTGGGGACGGGGAGCGCTATTCTCCGGGTGCAGCCTCCTCAGCGCCGGGGGCCCACAGTAGTTCCTGAAAGTTCTGAGTGTTCCTAGGGAGAGAGGAACCGTCGTCCAGATACCAGTGGAAGGGACCCTCAAGCTCCCACCACCCTCCCTGACCGCCCCTCACCTGGCCCTGAGGGCCCGCAGCCTCCAGGTCCTCTCGCGGTGCACCTGTTCCAGCTGCTCCCGCAGAGCGCGCCGCCGCCCGGCCGCGTCCTCCTGCACGGTGAGAGCACTGAGCGCCATGGGGCCGGCAGGGGGCAGCACCCGGCCCTGGTGCCGACCCCCGTCAACCTCAGTGGGCGGGGCGCGCCCTCCAGAGGGACCCGCAGAGCTCGGCACCGCCCCTTTCCCGGAGGTGCTTGCCTGCGGTGGGAGCTGAGTCCGGCTGAGCGGGAGCCCCAGCGGGTGAACCCGGCAGCGGCGGTTCCTGGCGAGGCGGAGGCGTTCCAGGACCTGGGGAGGCTGCAGTGAGCCGGGCGGCCGCCCCACTCCGCGCCCCGACCCCCGCCCCGGCTCAGGACGCACCCGGAGCCGCTGCTGCTCGCGCTCCCGCCGCCGTCGCCTCCTGGCCGCGCCGTGCAGCTCCAGCAGCCGCTGCAGGGCCATTTCCTGCTGCGCTGCGCTCGCGCCCACCGACACCCCCTCGCTTCCCGCGGGTGCCAGGCGCGAGGCCTCGGGGCCGTCCTTGTGCCCCCCGAGGGCGCCTGGCAGCCTCCTCTCGTCCATCTCTTGCTCCGGCGGCGGGTCTCGCCCCGGGAGAGCCGCAGGAGGGAGTCGCTGTGGCCCGGAGCCTGCAGTGCCCGGTGCAGCCAGTGTCGTGGGTCCTGGGACCGGGAGCCGCTGCCCGGCCGGGGGTCTCGGGGACGGAAAGGGAGGGCGGGCGGTCCCCGGCTCCGCCACTGCTGGTGCTGACTGCCGTCTCTGCGCCGGCTGGGTGGCCCTACACTGGGGGCCTGGGCTCTCCCGTCCCTGGGGCTGCGGGTTCTGCTCTCCCGGGGACGCGCAGAAGCTCCTCAGATGGCCAGGAGCGTCGCCCCCCTCTCCTGAGGACGGCCCCCTTAGCGGGGCCTGGGCACTAGTTCCTCTTTGCCTTTGCCAAGTCCCTCTGCCCTCACCCCGGGAGGCCTCCCCCCTCAGACTCTGAGCAGCCTCCTCCCTCTGACTCAGGGGCAGGTCCTTCTTCACCACTTTGTCCAGGTCTGCCCCCGGCCCCTTGGGGGCATCCTGAGGCGCTAGTGGGCCCTGGGAGGGCAGGCCCGGGGGCCCTGGGGGTCCCTGCGTGAGCCTTCTCCCCTCTGGGCCCTGGGACGGTGCTGGGTGGGGCTCCCGGGTTGTGGGCTCTGCCGGGTGGCTGTCTTCTCTCTGCGACAGGTCCTGGGAAGGAAGAGCACTTGGGGCCCACGCTTGAACCCCCCAAGCCCTGGGGAGCCCAGTAACCCCGGTGACGGGTCCTTGCCTGATTCCTGAATTTGCTCAACCCAATTTATGTGGTGCAACAGGTGCCTCACTTCCTCACCACCACCCCCTCCCCAGCCACGGGAGGCAGCCCCACTGCACCCCAGCAGCCTCCTCCAGGGACCCCAACCCTGGAGGGCCCTCACCCAGGCCACTTCAACCCTTTCACCTTGAACTCTGAGTTCCCCAGCTCCCAGTCACTGCTGCTGGTGGTGGGCTTCAGCTCTTGTAAGCAACCTGAGGGAGAAAGACCCCTGTTGGGAGCCCACTGCTCCCGTCCCAGCCCCTCACACACCTTCCACCTGAGCTGGAACCCAGAACCCAGATCGAGCAGTGCCCCAGGGCTGTCTCAGCTCATCATTCCACCCGCGGTCACACAGCCTGCCATGCACCTGCTGTCAGGCGTGCACCTGCGGTCACACAGCCTGCCATGCACCTGCTGTCAGGTGAGCCTGTCTCCAGCAAGCCCAGTCTTCCTCTTCCTCCCAGCCAAGGCTGAGCGCTGCAGAGGAACCTGCATACCCTCTTCCCCAAGACCGCCAGGGAGCCGGGGCCGCCTGGTGTAGAGGGCCACCCCGCTTCGTCCTGGCATACCCCTTCAGGCCCATAGAAGAAACGCACTGGATATGCCTTGCTTTGTGCTGTTATAAAGGAGCATCTTCCTTATCCAGTTGCTTCTGACAGTAAAACCATGAACTGTGGGGCTGAGCCTGGCCTACAAGCTGCAAAGCTTCATAATCAACAGACAAAAAATCTAAAAAGTGCGAGGCCCCATGGCCGCTCCCTGCAGCCTGTGGAGGAAGGCAGGCTGTGCTGCATCGACAAAGCACAGAGCAGGGACCTGGGTTCCTAAGGCCCTAGACTGGGATCTGTCACAGTTGCGTCTCATTCTCTCATGCAATACAGAAATGTGTGGCTTTCACAGCTCATCAAATGGGTATGCTCTCTCTGAAAAATCTCAGGACCAGCGCTGTGGCATAGCGAGATAAGCCACTGCCTACCATGCTGGCATCCCATATGGGCACTGGTTCAAGTCCTGGCTGTTCCACTTCTGATCCGGCTCTCTGCTATGGTCTGGGATAGCAGAAGATGGCCCAAGTGCTTGGGCCCCTGCACCTGCATGGGAGACCCGGAAGAAGCTCCTGGCTTCAGTTCAGCCTGGCCCAGCCATTTGGGGAGTGAACCAGCAGGTAGAAGATCTCTGTCTCTCCCTCTCTCTCTAACTGTCTTTCAAGTAAATAAATAAATAAATCTTTTTTTTTTTAAAAAAAGCTTTTGGAAGAAATTTTTGGACAAATGAATCTTAAAAGACTCGCTAGCCATTAGGAATTTCTTGCTGAACCATGACCACAACCCCGCAGCCCTGGTCTGATGTCATACTAGAGAATGAATTTCTCTGGTAATAAGGTTATCATTGATATTTGAGTTCCCAAGTGACAGAATACTTGTGAAAACCTTTCTGTCCATCAAGAAGCAATGCATGACGGAAGAACTAAGAACGGATGGCTTTGGTAGATGTGTGATGTATTATTTAACAAACGATGTGGGAGTCTCTTTCATGTAACTTAATAGGCGAAGCATCACAGCCTCCTTGCCACAGAGAGCTAACCGCCTGTCTGGCCTTGCTCTCCCGCTAGGCTGCGATCGCAAAGATGGTGACCAAGTCTCGTTTGCTCTCTGTAGATGCCCAGTGCCCGGCTAGAGGGTGGCAGCCTAGTGGTCTAGACTTGCTCTCCATGCCCCCCTCCCCAGCAGCCAGCACCGGCCCTTCTCGGTGCTCTCCCCCGAGCCCCAGTTTAGCCTCAGCATCGGTGGACATGGTGGACGCGGTGGACATGGTGCCTGAGACAGGACCAGTCAGGTAAAATCAAACCTGCTTTGGTCGGCACCGCAGCTCACTAGGCTAATCCTCCGCCTGCGGCGCCGGCACCCCGGGTTCTAGTCCCAGTTGCTCCTCTTCCAGTCTAGCTCTCTGCTGTGGCCCGGAAAGGCAGTGGAGGATGGCCCAAGTGCTTGGGCCCTGCACCCACATGGGAGACCAGGAGAAGCACCTGGCTCCTGGCTTCAGATCGGTGCAGTGCGCTGGCCGTGGTGGCCATTTGGGGGGGGGGGTGAACCAATGGAAAAGGAAGACCTTTCTCTCTGTCTCTCACTGTCTAACTCTGCTTGCAAAAAAAAAAAAAAACAAACAACAAAACAAACAACAAAACAACAACAACAACAAAAAAAACAACTGCCTTGCCATCCCTGGATACCTGGGCACCCACTGAGGGTGAAGACTTCCCACCTCCTCCCAGTCTAGTCTCACTCCTCAGCCCTGGGGCTCTCCTGGCTGCCCATCCCCACCTGCCAATGTACCAGGCGTGGCTTCTGCAGGTTCTCCGGGGCTCTGGCACCTGGGGTCTGCATCACTCCTCACTGGACCCAGGGCTGGGGCTGTGGCTGCATCTGCCGCCTGCCCCCTGCAGGAGTTCGAGGCTGCACCTCTGTGGCTCTGTGGGCTTTGGGATGAGAAGGGAGTCCACCCCCCTGTGGGCTTCTGAGCCTCCCCACCCCAATGGCCAGGGTGGCCTTCCCCAGCCCCGCTGCTGGACCCCAGGAGCTGGAAGTCAAGGTTATTGTGTCCAGGGACTGGGGGGGTGGGCAATATGGGTGCAGCTGAGCTGAGAGCCCAGGAGGACCCAGGAGCTGCATGGGACTAGAAGGACCCAGGGCGAAGGGCCCAGTTCTTGGCCACTTGGTGTGGCTGCATGGGGAGTGCCAGGGATCCAGGAGAAAGACTCACCCTTCTGGGAGCTGATGGTTCTGGCTCATGGAGTTCCCGGCCTGGGGCAAGAGGTGCAGGGTTGTGGGGGAGCCCTGACCCACAGGGCAGCTTCCCCAAGTGTGGCCGGCACCTCTCAGATGGGCCCCTGGGATCCCTGTCTTCTGGTGCCCAGGCCCTCGTGTGACCTCTTCCCTCTCTCCTCCATACCAGGGAGCTTGGGAATGACCCCTCCTGGCCACATGAGTCCTGCTCAGGGATGTTGGCTGGACCCTGGCTTCGTGGTCACCACTAACACCCCCTCCTGGTACAGCGGAGGACGCCTCCGCCCAAGAAGGTGACCAACCTGCCCAAAGGGACCTGGACAGTCCGTGGTTGAGCTGGGGCTGGCGTGCACTTTCTTCTCCCAGCTCTGTCCTGGGCCCAGGCACCACGCACCCCTCCTGGAGGGGGAGCCCAGCTCTAGCCCTTGGAGGGAGGGCCCGAGGCGGAGGCTGCGCTAGGTCACAGTCTTAGGTCACCAATGACCTCTGCCTCTGGGACCCTCCCTCCAGTTGCTGTCACCCCTACCTACAACCGCACCCGTTGCCGCATGATGCGCCTGCTCACCAGCCGCTCCGCGTCCCCACCGCGGGCCTGGCTCCATGCACGCTGGGCCTGGTTCCTCAGATTGCAGAACTTTGCTGGATGAGGCCAGAAGAGGCCCAGCCCTGCCCCAGTCAGCAGCTCCAAGTCCCACAGGAGCTGCAGGAAGAGGGGGCACCAAGGCAGGATGAGGCACCCCCATACCCCACCACCACACACCCCAAGCAGCCTCTACCTGCTCCTGGGCCCGCCGGCTCCACTCCATCTGCAGCAGCACGGTGGGCAGCTCCAGCCCTGAGTGGCAGCCCTGGAGGAGGGGGGAGGGGGACTCAGACCCCCACTGTCCCCCTCTGAGGAGGTGCCCTGCCTCCCCAACTTGCCGAAGTGCAGCCAAGAGCTGGCCCAGGCCCAAGGGGCGCTGGAAGAGGTGCTGGTACAGAGCCAAGGCCTGCCGGGGGCTGCAGGAGAGCCCGAGCCCCCTGCGAGGGGCAGCCTGCGCCATGGGCAAGCGGCTGGGGCAGCCGGCTCCTCTGTCCTCTGTGCCCTCCCTCTGCTCTGGAGAGAGGCGGGAGCTGCAGAAGAGGCCTGCGTCTCTCAACAATGCAGGCCCTGACACCGGACACCTGAGCCCGGCCTCCCAGGGACTCTGCCTTCCTTTCTTCTAATGATGAGATCTAATGATGGGGGGGGGGGGGAGAGCCCTCATCCCAAACAGAGCGGCAACTGGAGTGCCAATTGCTCTGCCTCTGATCCAGCTCCCTGCTAATGCACCTGGGAAAGCAGTAGAAGATGAGTCAAGTGCTTGGGCCCCCAGCACCAGTGTGGGAGATCCGGAAGAAGCTCCTGGCTCCTGGCTCCGGACTGACCCAGTCCTGGTTGTTCTGGCCATTTGGGGAGTGAACCAGAGAGTGAAAGATCTCTCTCTCTGTAACTCTTTCAAATATATATATATATATATATAAAAAGTGAGTGTGAGCAGTGGGAGACCCCACGGTGGGGAGCCCGGCCCACACAGGTCTCCTCCACGCTGTCCACCTGCTCTGTGCTGGCCACAGGCCACTCCATCGAGTCCTCCCCACACTCCAGGTACGTGTTACCATCACCCCCATTTCTCAGATGAGGAAAGCATCTGTGTAAGTCGTAACGAAGGAGGGGCGCATCGTGGAGCTGGTTCAGGGGGCTCCCTGGCAGCTCTGCCTGCCGGCAGCCTTGTCACCACTCCGCGAGGGGATGAGCAAGCCGTCCTTCCTGGGCCCCGAGCAAGGACAGCCAGGCTAGGTGGAGTGCTCTCGCTGGGGCTCGGCCAGTGTGCTCCCTGGAGCACGGAGCCTCCACTCCCTATCGGGATACGAGGGACTGGCAACGAGAATGGAGCACCCCTGATCCCCCAGACACCAAGGTCACAGAGCTGGGACCTGGCAGAGACCTCAAATTCGGGACTTTTTCTGTTTCAAGCCTGCGTTCTCTCCGCTACAAAGATGTTTCCCCGAGCTGCGCGTGCACCGCCCCCACATCCTTCCAGGCCAGGTGTGGTTGTGAAAGCTGCGCAGGTCCATCTGGGTCTCCGAGGGGCACGTGAGTGTACGCCCACGTGTCTGTATTTCATCACGGTCTGTTGTCCCCCTGCCCCAGACCTGGGGTTCCTGTGTCACTGCCTTAGAAAGATCCAGGAGCCAGAGCACTCGAGGCTACCAAACCAAGAGGAATGGGGGGGGGGCCCAGGGGTGGACTGAGCCCCTTCTGTGGCTCCTCAGCTCTTACAGGCTCCCATAGGGATCCCCAGAGGGTCCCGACGGTGGCCGGGGGGCGTGCCTGCTACATAGACCGAGCACAGGGCAGGGACCAGGCCACCTGGGGCTTCCTGTCATGGGGGGTTTCCCAGAAGGCACCAGGGAGCGGCCAGTGGAGGCAGCCCAGGGATGCAGACTCAGGAGTACAGGAGGTCCTGGGAGCCCAGGGACAACTGAAGTAACACCTTGACAGGAGGGACTCCATTTTGGAGCACCTGACACTCCATCTAGAGAACGCGCCCCCCGCCCCCAGCATGAGACTCTGGTCTGAAACTATGATCTAAAACACTCAGACAATAGCTGTCCCCTACGTCACACTTGGCAAAGCATAGAAACCTAGCATGTTCGCTTCAAGCTTAAAAACGGATAGGCTGCACCAGGTTAATGATAAGATTGTAATTTGTCTATGTCCTACATATGATTCAGGCCCATACCTGGATTCATGTCACGATTATAATTGGAAGTGTTAAGACTGTAACTGGTATTGCCAAGATTAGAATTGGTATTAGTTTCACATAAGCTTTAGGTTAGCTTGACCCCAGGAACCATGAATTCCCCTCCCGATTTTGTGGGTTTTGCCTTTATAAACCCTCTTGCTTTGGGCTTCGGGGTCGAGAGCTCTTTGGGGCAATAAAGGACCGTCAAATTGTATCAATGCGTGGTGCTCCTCTGTTGGCATTCCCTCAGGTGCAACACAACCAGGACGAGGCCCATGTTCCCCACGGCTGCCACCCCCGCACCAGGAGGAAGCACACGCACACATAGGACGCGTTAGGGCAGGTCCAGAGTTTACTGCTTCCGACTCGACATGGCGGGCACAGGGCGCCGTCCCTGCAGCTCTGGCCAGGTGGGTGCTGCTGACCAAGAGGAGACTTCTGGCCTGATGTTCTAGCTCAGGTGTCTGCTAGGGCTCCCCGCTAGGGGTGGGCACAGCGTGGGGTGCCTGCTCTCCTGTGAGCAGCACTGGCGGGCAGGCCTCGGGTGGGATACAGTGGGCCTCGTGCTCCACCAGGCCTGCGGGGCACTGGCAGCCCGGGACACAGGGCCTCACGCAGTGGGCGGCCAGCTCCCCCAGGGGGATGTGCCTGTTGAAGCAGGTGCGGGGACAGGGCGGGCCACACTCGTCAAACACGAAGCCCCGGTCCAGCGGACAGCCCAGCACTGCAGGCAGAGCAGAAGGTGGGTCAGGGGCTTACGCCTTGTGGATTTCCCTGCACCCACTGGCCCCGGGGGGCCGCGGATCATCACCCCTCACCGCAGAGTGTGGGGCCCCGCCAGGCAGGTGCCACCCCTGCCTGGCGACAGTGGCTGGCGTAGGCTTCTAGGACGTCACAGAGGCAGGCGTCGGCTGAGGGGCCCGGGCCACAGGCACACAGGTCATACACGCAGGCGGCAAAGAACGGCTCCGGGGGCACCGCCGCGTGGCAGCCGCTGAATGGGGAGGACTTGAGCACCCCACAGCGGGCGTTGGCCTCACGCCTGGCACGGTAGCCTGCTGCCCGGCACGGATCCACCTCCCGGCCTGCAGAACAGGGCCGGCCAGGCCCCGGCCCCTCGGGGACCTAGGGAGGGAGAGTGACGCGCATGCGCACTTGGCAGCTGCTGCTTTTCGAGAGCCGGAAAGCCCAGCCAGGGCTCCCCCCACCCCGTTTTCCACACAGTCGGCTGCTCCAGCCCCCACCCCCACCCCTGCAGCTCACCTGCCAGCTATTCCCAAACGCAGCCTCGGTGGGCAGGAGCAGCCCCTCGGGGCCCTGCAGCTCATCCTGGGCCAGGCCATTGAAGTTCCCACAGAGCCCACAGGTGTGGCCCCGGTAGGAGCTTGGCACGCTCACCTCCACCTGAGACTTCCCATCCCACAGCACCTGCGCACAGAGGCCCGGAACTGGGGAGTGGGGAAGGTGAGGGACCCCAGGGAGGCCTGAGCTGCAGGGGAGGGCGTGGAGGTGGAGGCTGCCCATGGGAGGCGGGGGTGGGGGGATGCTACTCCAGTCAAGGTCAATGTGGCAGGTGTTGTGTGACCCTGGGCAATCATGGAAGCCGGGAACAGGTGCCCGCAGACCCTGCCCGCATCCCTCAGGGTGCCGGGGGTGGGGTGGGGTGGGGGTGGGGGGAGGGGGATGTAGCCCACTTTCTGGAGCCACTGTCTCATGGACCCCAGGTGTAGACAAGCCTCACTTCCTGACTTCACGCAGGTTCCTCCCCCACCTTCCCAGCCCCCCCCCCCCAGCCCCTGGAGTGGTGGAGAGGAATCAGACCACCTGGGGGACCTCCCAGAACCCCCTCCCTCCCCGACAGTTCCTTCCCCCACATCACAGATGGGAATACTGAGGCCAGAGACGGTAGCTAGGAGCCCAGGAGCCAAGATCAGAAACCGGATGGACACACCAAGGCTGCCCCTGAGGTCTACAGCCTGTCTCCTTTTTTGGGAAACCTGAGGGCTCGGTTGATGAGGGAGGCGCCTGGCACCCTCTACAGCCACTCCCCCTCCCACCCCGCCGTGGCCCTGGGCGCCGCACCTTGAGCCCGGGCTGGGCGTGCAGCATCACGGCGCGGCCCCGCAGTTCCACGTACAGCAGCGGCTCCTGCAGGAAGGGCAAGGCCACCGCGCGCCCGTCCACCTGGCGAAGAAGGGAGGTGGGAAGGGGAGGGGCGCCGGCCTCGCAGACGGGCGGGCAGTGGGCGCCCCGCCCTTGCCCCGCCCATCCGCTCCGCTCACCGTGACCGCTCCGCCCTGCAGCAGCCTCACGGCCGCACCTCCCAGCAGCACCGCCACCTCCTGCGTCCAAGCCACGCCGCTCCGGCCCCGGTCGTCGTTGGTCACGTGCACGCTGTGGGAGCCCCCGGGGGCCAGTGGTCAGGTGGGCCAGGTGTAGGGCTGGGGGGGGAGGGGGAGGGGGAGGGGCCGCGCACCTGAAGTCGCCGCCGCGGCAGTCCTTGGCCAGCACGTAGCTGCAGCTGCCCTGGAAGTGCAGCAGGCGGCCGTCGAAGGTGCGGTAGTGCGGGTCTCCGAAGGCCATGCAGGAAGCGGGCCGCGGCAGGCAACGCGGGCAGCAGCTGCCAGGTCTCAGGGCGGGGGCCTCGTCCTGGCCTCAGCCCCGGACACCGTCAGACACCGGGCGCTCGCCGCCAGGCCCCTCGCAAACCCTCGTGCAGGACTGAGCATCGCCGGGGGCGGGGTCGGGGGTCGGGGTCGGGGTCGGGGTGGCTGTGGGGGGTTTCCCCACGGCTCGCGGGTCTCCCAGGCTCAGGACACCACCTGGTGGCCCCGTCGGGAACAGCACCGGGCCCAGGGCCCCTCTCTCCCACACCCCGTAGCTTGCCCCACCCCCACGGCCTTAGACACTCACGGGGCCACACGACAGTGGCCGGCAGCGCTGGCTCTGGCAGCGCACGGTGCCGGCCACGCAGAAGCAGCTGGTGCAGGCGTCCGCGGCCCAGCGCTCCCCGGAGGCCACCTGGAGGCCCTGGTACATGCAGGACTGGGGCGGGGCTGAAGGGACAGGGGACAGAGTCAGAGGCCTCGCCACCCCCGCCCCCTCAGGACTTCGCTACCCTTCGGGCCTTGCACCTTGGCATCGCTCACAGCAGCTGCCGGCCTCCAGCACTTTGGTCCAGCCCGGGGGACAGGAGAGGGCCTGGCACTCCTCCAGGTGGCACTCCACGTGGCCCCGCTGGGACAGACACCATAGCCTTAGGGATTTCCTGCAGGGCCTACAGTCCATGGCCTCACAGCCCTTTCTGTCTGCCCCCATGACCCCACATCACCTTTCAAGCAGTCCTCCACCCTCAGCTCCCTGTCCCGGCTTGGGGATGCCTTGGCCCCTCAAACACCACCTCCCCACCCCCATAATTGCAGGTGCAAAAAAGGGAGGTCTCCTTCCTTAATCTACCCATCAGTTCCCCCACTCTCCCCGGCCCCCGGCTCACCTGGCAGGTGCAGGTGACGCAGGCGTGGCTGGGGTCCCGCCAGCTCTCTCCATCTGCCACCCTCCGGGTACCAGCCTCCACCACGCAGTCTAAGCCAGGACAAGAGGGCGGGGCAGGTGCCGTGCCCTGCCCCGTCCTGGCTCTCTGAGCTCACCCTGGGCGCCCCAGCAGGGAGGCACGCCTCCCAGTCCACCAGTGTCCTGTCAACCATCCTGGAGAAACCCACTAGGAGCCTGGCCTTGGACTCATGCTCAGGGTGTCCCTAGGGTCCTGGGAGCCTGAGGAGCTGGAATCAGAACCTCCCTGGGCCAGGTCCATGGTGTGAGGCCATAGTGATGGACCTGGAGCCCTGGGCCCCCCCGCCATGAGCCTCATGCCCGGCCTTGAGAACCGCGGCTTTTCCTGCCTGCCATCCTCACTCCAGCCCAACACAGAGGCCCTGTGAAAGAATCAAACCCGCATTCTGAGTGGCAATCTCAGGCTGCCCACTTGGGCCGTGAGTGCCAGCCACCACCACCCCCCGCCTCCCTCCTGGGCTCTCTGAGGGTGCAAGCTGAGGCCAGGCACTTACCCTGGCACATGGGACAGCAGCTCCCCGGGGGGGTGTGGCGCTCCAACAGGGGACAGCTGAGCTCAGGACAGACCCGGCGCATGCAGAGCCACGTCAGGTCCTGAGACAGAGACAGGAGACAGCGGGGGCCAGCGGGGGCCAGTGTCGCGGTAAGTGCAGAACCCTCAGCCCCCCCACCCCCACAGAAGACAGAGTGCCCAGGGCAGGAGGCTCACCCGGCATTGGCAGGTATAGCAAGGGTCTGGGGGGGTCAGCTCAGACCCGAGCAGCCCTTCTGTGCAGTTACTCAGCGCCTCTGTGAAGACGGAAACCCAGTGTGGGCGGGGATGGGGCAGCACGGGCCAGCATTTGCCTACGACACTGGCATCCCATATGGGCGCCAGTTCGAGTCCCAGCTGCTCCACTTCCGATCCAGCTCCCTGCTGTGACCTCCACTGCTTTTGCCGTGGAAGACAGTCCAAGTGCTTGGGACCCTGCACCCGCCCGGGGGACCCAGAACAAGCTCGTGGCTCCTGGCTTCGGATTGGCTCAGCCCTAGCCATGATGGTCATCTGGGGAGTGAAGCAGGGGATGGAAGACATCTCTCTCTCTCTCTGAAACTCTGATTTTCAAAAAACAAACCAACCAATACTGCTGCCGCCAATGTTAGATACCTGCAGGGACAGCATTACAGCCAGGAAACCAAACCGCAGAGGTTATCTTCCAATGTTTGAAATGCAGCATACCTGCTTGTTTACTTTCCCGATCTTAATAAATATTTACTCTTAAAGGTAAATAAATAAAGCTCTGTCCACCCCTGCAGTCTGCGCGCCTCGCACCCCGCCCTCCAAGGAGCCTGCAGCTCAGCCCACTGCCGTCCTGCAGCGCCACCTGCTGGGGAAGTTGCCCCACAGCAGCGCCCAGCTTCCGAGAGCCAAGGGGTCCCGGGCTGCGTTCCCAGCTGTGCAGGGGGCTTCCTGAACAGCCCACTGGAGAAGGGCCGGGGAGCAGAGCCCTACACTTGTAGCTTACATAAGCCCATGTCCCGGGACTCACGGGCACACGTAGGGCAGCAGTCCTGGGGCCCAGGGGGCAGGAGCTGGCTGGGGGGGCAGCCCACCAGGCTGGGACACTGCTGCCGGTGACAGCGAAGGCTGGGAGGCCCCTCAGGCTGCGGCTACAACCAGAATGAGGAGACAGGGTGGGTCCCAGGCCGTGAAAGCCCAGCACCGGAGCCAGACCCTCATATGACTTTTGACCCTCCTGCACTCACTGCCGCCCTCCTCCCCCAACTCGTGACCTATGACGTCATTCGCCTGCTCCCCACCCTTCCATGGTTCTCTACGGCTGAACTGACTGTTCTCACCCCGCACACACACCCCACCACACTCCAGCCAGGAAGACCCCCACCCCGGCCTCTGCCACACTGGCAAACAATGGCCGGAGTCTGCACCCAGCGCCCTGCCAGAGCTGCCCGCCCCTCGGCTCCGCGCTCACCCTACCTCACAGCCGCACACTTCACAGGGGTCCACCCCAGGCTGGAAGCTCTCCCCAGGCTCATACTTCCGGCCCTCGTGCTCACAGCCTGGAGAGGGGAGGGGGGAGGGGGGAGCAGAGAGGGACCGGGGAGGCTTCAGGCCAAGGCAATGCCAAGGGGCAGGGTCCTGGCCCCCAGGCTCTCCCACCCCAGGGCCCGCGCAGTGTCCTGGAACCCGGCCGCTCCGCCACACAGAGGGGCTGACCCACATGCCTCTGCCCTCACTGTCCCCCGCCCCTCCCCCCAGCTTCCAGTACCGGGGCACTGAGGGCAGCAGTCCCCGGGCCCCTGCTGGGGCTGGGCGCAGGAGCTGACACACTGGACACGGGCGCAGGTGACGATGCCTTGGTGACACGTGCAGGTGGAGCAGGGGCTGTCCGGGGGCACCCAGCTACTGCCTTCAGGGTGCTCCTCCCCCTGAACCACGCAGCCTGTGGACCCAGGTGGGCAGGGACAAGCTTGGAGGCTGAGACCCGGATGTCCGCTCCTGCCCCCGCCCCCCCCCCCCATACCGCAGGTAGTGAGCAGGACAGGTAGCACCAGGAAGGGGCAGAACTCCTATCTGAGCTGGAGGGGTCGGGACACCTGGGTTCTAGTCTGGTGCCCCAATTGCTTGCTTGCTAGACCCAGCTCCAGGCAGCAGCTCTGTTGCAACCTAGCACCGGCAACAGTAACTCGCATACAGCAGGTGCGCGATAAGTGTACAGGGAGCCAATGAACGGCTGCAGCACTAACCCTACGCCCCAGTCACTCATGTCTGCCAAGCCTGTCTCGTGTGCTAAATGGGGATTTCATCTGTCCTGCCCACCCCACTGTGGCTGAAAATGACTCCATGCTGGGCAGGCTAAGAAAGCCTCATGGTGTGGGTTTTGACTCGGCTTCCTGCGAGCTGAGTGGCCACAGGCTAGGTAGGGTGAGGGCCAGGGCTGGAGGTGTGGGAGGGAGCCAGGGGGCCGGCAAACCTCTACAGCGAGGGCAGCAGCTCCCCGGCTCCGTGACGTGGTGCGGGCACGGCAGAGGCGGGCACTGCAGCCACACACAGCTGACCCGGGCGGCCTGCGGTGGGTGCAGAGTCGGACACTTGCCCCTGGGTCGGGAACCCCGCTCCCCGCCCCCACGTCCTGTCCTGCCTCACCTGGCACCGGCACCGCTCACAGCTGCCTGCAGGCCCCTGGAATTCCTCCCCGTCCTGGTACTCCCGGCCCTGGGAGAGGCAGCCTGTGGGGGATGCACTTTCTGAGTGGGGGTGGGAGGGGTGGGGGCCATGCCTGGCAGAGAGAAGCAGGGGAGGGGCAAGAATCAGGGAAGGAAAAGGGGGGGCGGGGCAGGTGGGAGGCCGCTCACTGTGGCAAACGGGGCAGAAGCAGGGTCCTGGAGACGGGTGGGGGCAGACAGCAGGGGGACACGGCTTCTTCTGGCAGCGCATAGAACCGTCCTGAGGGAGAGAGGCCACACTGCCACTTCTGATGCCCCCGTGGCTCCCTCACTGCCCCCATGGTGGAAAACCCAACTGAGCCTGCCGGGGCTGGACACCCCGCCCTCATCCCTGGCCCCAGAGGGGAGCCTGGAACCCAACGCTGTCCATGAGATGTCACCCCTTTGCAACCTGGGGGAGGGGACAAGCCCTTCCCGGCCAGAGAGTGGGATCGTGGGATGAAAGGTTACCAAGTGCCCAACAGGGACGCTGACCTGGCAGGTGCAGAGGGAGCAGGTGGGGTCGAGTGGGTCAGGAAGGGTCTCTCCCAGGGCAGCAGTGACCCCGTGGTAGTGGCACCCTGGCAAAGTGGGGGTGCAATGGAAGGGCTGCCATTGGCACACACACACTCCATGTTGCACACACACACATGCACACGTCCATGTACACATAAAGTGCACAGAGAGGTCTGGGGAAAAGTCTAGGGGCTGAGTGTGTGGGCCGATCTCAGAAGAGAGCCCATGAGCATGAGAGGCCAGGCCCCAGGGTCCCCAAAAGGGGGAGAACGGGCAGGTGCAGCCCTACCCTGGCAGGTCGGGCAGCAGTGCCCTGGTGGCGTGAGCGGGTGGCTGCAGCCCACGGGCTCACAGGGCCGGCGGCGGCAGCTGACGAAGCCTCCGAGGCAGGAACACAGGTTGCAGGGCTCTCGGGGATCCGAGAAGTCCTGGCCGCTCAGGTAGGACACCCCCAGGTACTCACAGCCTTTGGGAGAAGAGCAGAGAAGGACAGGGAGGAAAGAGGGGTAACAGGCAGAGGGGGTAACAGCCCAGAGACGCGTGTGGAGGGCACAATGCAGGCCCCGGGAGCAAGGCCCACTTGAGGGGTAGGGTGTGGGCTGGCCCTCGGAGAAAATTCTCCTGTGCAATCTACACCCCCAAGGGGTGTGCCCCGGGCTTGGATCCTGGGGCGGAAGGCACCAGTTCTCCAGGCCAAGGCAGCCCCCTGCGCCGCTGTCCCAGGTGCCCTGACCAGGCTACCAAAGAGGGAGTGACAGCCTGCCCTTGTCCCCTGGGACACTCATTGCCCTCTCTGCAAGATGGAGGACAGCATTCTATATGGGCGCCAGTTCGAGCCCCAGCTGCCCTGCTAACCACCTGAGAAGCCAGTGGGTGATGGCCACAGTGCTTGGGCCCCTGCTCCCGCGTGGGAGACCCGGATGGAGTTCCAGGCGCCTGGCTTCAGCTGGGCTGTGGCCATTTGGGGAGTAAACCAGAGGATGGGAGATCTATTTATCTCTCTCTCTCTCTCTCTTACTCTGCCTTTCAAAGAAATAATAAATAAATCTTTTTTAAAAATAAAGAGAGAGAAAACAAGTCTCAGGCCCAAGGCCTCGGCAATATTCTACGTTAATTGTATTCATTTTATGGCCATTTATTGCTGGCAAGTCTAATTTTTTCCAGTTATAACATGATAGAAAATTCCTTTCTAAATAAATTAATGAGTAAATACGAAAACATACTAAAGAAATAAAATCACAGTTGGGAGAAGTTATGCAGCACGAACCCCAAGATAGTACAGCACCGAGTGAAAGCTGGGTCTGCTTCCACCCTCTCACAGGAGCTGGCCCAGGGAGGGTGTGTAACTTGCCTGAGCTCACAAAGCCAATCGCATCAGGGGCAGGAGACAATTCGGGCTGTGGGTCAGGATTTTTTTTCTGACCGTAATACACAGCGCTGCAGCGTAGTGGGGGCAGGCGCCGGGTCCTCCTGTCCCGCCCCGACCCCCGCAGCAGGCGCCGGGTCCTCCTGTCCCGCCCCGACCCCCGCAGCCGCTCACCATCGCAGGCCGGGCAGCAGCCGGCGCGGGCGGGGAAGGGGCACGGTGCAGGGGCGCAGGCCTTGGGCTCGCAGCTCACGCCGCCCTCCCAGCAGAGGCAAACGTGGCAGGCGACCGTGGGCGAGGCGAAGCGCTCCCCGCTGGCAAACTGCTTCCCAAGGAACAGGCAGCCTAGGGAGATAGGGCGGGGGCAGGTCGTGGCCTTGGCCTCCGGGGGCGGAGGGCGCGAGGCTGGCCTGGGGCTCCGGGGCCGCTACCGTCGCAGGAGGGGCAGCAGCGGCCCGGGCGCGGGTGGGCGCAGGGCGCGGGCGGGCAGGGCGGCCGCTGGCAGGACACGGCGCCGTCCAGGCAGAGGCAGCTGACACAGGGCTCGCCGGCCGGGACGAAGCGCTCCAGGTGGCGGGCGGGCAGCGCGCCCCCGGGCCGCGGGCAGTCGGCGGGCGCGGCTGCGGCGAGAGCGCGCGTGAGCGCGGCCCAGGCAGGGGCCTCCAGGGGGCACCCCGGGGAGGGGCGGCAGAGGCGCGCGGCTCCTACCCGGGCACTGCGGGCAGCACTCTCCCGGCGGCAGGACGGGCGCTGGGCAGGGCAGCGGCGGGCAGCGGCGGGCCAGGCACTGCACGGTGCCGCCCTGCAGGTCGGCCAGGTGGGGTTAGTGGGGGGCGGCGGAGACCCCGCCTCCAGCTCCGCCCTCCCACCCTACTCACCCGGCAGCGGCAGAGGCGGCAGGGGTCCGTGGCATGGGGGAAGTCCGCACCGTCGGGGTACTCCTTGCCTCCGAAGGCACAGCCTGGGCGCGGGCGGGGGGCAGCGTCAGCCTGGGACGCCCCCCACCTCACCCCCAGCCCTAAATAGCGGTGGGCGGGGCCTAGCCATCCCAGGACAGCCCCTGAGGCACCCCAGCCCCCCTCACCACTGCAGTCGGTCCGGCAGCAGGTGCCGGGCAGCGGGTGGGCGCACGGAGCGCTGGGGCAGGTGCGAGGCTGGCAGTGGGCATGGCCTTCCCGGCACTGGCACTCCTGGCAGGGGTCCCCTGGGTGAGAGAAACTCTCACCATCCACAAACACCTGATTCTCCAGGGCGCAGTCTGCGCAGGACAGGGGGCAAAGGAGAGAGGTGAGAGATGGATGGCTCAGGGGACAGGATCACAGCCCGCGGAAGGGAGAGGAAGAGGGGCACTGTGTGTGCGAGTGCGCAGGCGTGGGGGTCGCCCGGAGCAGTGTGTGTGCGTCCGTTTACCTGCCGGCAGGTGCAGAGGGAGAAGGGGGAAGTGCTTACTGGCTAGTGCCACTGCTTGCGACACACACCCGGCACCCAACCTCCCACGCGGTGGACTCAAGTGTTTTTTGGGTATGACCCTGTGTTCCACAGGTAAATATGCTTATGTGAGTGGCTCAAAGAGAAAAAGGCACCATGCGTGCGGAGGGTGGCATGGTAACTCGGACGATCCCACCCGCACCCTGGGAGTTCCAGAGAGTTCTAAGCTGTGTTGGACTGAAAACAGTCTGAAAAGCTGTTACTTCCCAAGGCACGCACTGGATCCAAGGGGCCATGGACAGCAGGGTCTGGGGGCCGCTGGGGACAGCGAACACATACCCGGGCACCTGGGGCAGCACTGGCCGGGTCCACGCTGGGGCCTGGCACAGGTCGTGGGCGGGCATGTGACCAAGGAGCAGCTGACAGTGCCGTCCTGGGGACAGGGGAGAGGGCAATGGGGACGAGCCCCAGGAGGGGCGCAGCAGGGCCGTGGCCGGCCTGGAGTCGTACCTCGCAATGGCAGGCCTGGCAAGGGCTATCTACATCGGTGAAGTTCTGCCCGTTGGCATACACGAGGCCGTGGTAGGTACAGCTCTCACAGCTGGGGCAGCAGGTACCTGGGTGGGGCAAGCTGGTCAGGCTGGGCTGGGCAAAAGCAGGGGAGAAAGCCGAGGGGGGGCTTGGCACTCACCAGGGAGCTGGGTGGGGTGCTGGCAGGGGGCCGGGGGGCACAGCACAGCCCCACACACGGGCACCCCCTCTTGACAGGAGCACGCAGTGCAGGGCTGGCCGTCAGGCTCCCACTGGACACCGTCCGCAAACTCCTCTCCGTGGAGCACACAGGCTGCCGCCAGGGGTCGCCATGATCACAAGGCCATCCCCTCCCACCAGCCCTAGGGAGCCTGCCCACCACAGCGTCTGAACCCAGCCCACAGTTCAGCCATGGTCGGTGGCCTTAGCAACCCCCTTATAGGGAATGAACCCCCTCCCTCTCCAGCTCCCCCCTTCCCGTACACACACACACCTGGGCAGAGCTGGCGGCCGGAGGCAGGCAGGGCGCAGGGGGCAACTGGGCACTCCTGCTGCTCACAGGAGACCTCACCAGCCTAGGGGAGTGGTCAGGTGAGAGGCGCGCCGGGGCCGGGGGAGGGGTGCGGCACAGATCTGGGCCTGGGAAGCTGGGGCCGCCCACCTGGCAGGAGCAGCGGACACAGTGGCCGCTCTCTTGGAGGCTGAAGGTCTCCTGGCTCTGATACTGGTGTCCCTGGTACTCACAGCCTGGATGGCAGGGGACGGGGATGCGGGTGCAGGGCTGGAGGGTGATGGGGAAGCCCTGCCAGCCCCCCCTGTACCCCCCACTCCCGGAAGCAGGGGCTCCACCATCAAGCCCAGGGGGCCAAGAGACAATGTGGTAAACTCCGGGCCGCACTCACCGTCGCAGGCCGGGCAGCACTGCCCGGGGACCCTGCCTGGGTGTGCACAGGGCAGGGTCGGGCAAGGCAGAGGGTCACACTGGATACTCCCGTTCTGCCAACAGGGGCCTGGTCAGCACGTGGGAGGCAGACCTGGAAGCCACGCCCTCCCTGAGGGGCAGCCACACTCACAGCACAGCGACAGTGCACGCAGGGGTCCGCGGAGCCCACCGGCTCCCCGCTGCGGTGCTCCCGCCCATTTAGGAAGCAGCCTGTGGGGAGGAGGCGCTCAGACCTTCGGTAAGGACCGGGCCGCCCCACTCCCGCCAGCCTTCCCCCGCTCCGGCTCCGGGCTGCCCTCTGCCCAGGACCCTGCTCCACTCACTCTCACCATCACACACAGGGCAGCAGGTGCCCGGGAGGGGGCGTGCGGGGTATGGGCACGTGCTGGCGCACTCTCGCTGGTGGCACTGGATGTGGCCCTCCTGGTGCGGGGGAGGAGGAAGAGGAGGAAGGGGACAGAGGAAGGGGCTGTCAGGGCTCAGCCAAGCGGCAGACACAGCATTCAGGTCCCAGCTGTCCACTTAGGCGACCTTAGGTGCTGAAGCCAGTCCTCTCCCAGCACCTCCGAATGTGTTGTGGTGGATGTCCCTAGTTTAATTGGGGTCGCACTGGAGTGGAAAGGACCCTAATCCAATCTCACTGCTGGTATCCGTAGAAGAAGGGGACCTCTGAACCTGCGCACAGGGGGACCGACGTGTGACCCTGGGGAGACTCGGCCGCCAGGGGGCGCCCGCCACCTCCCACCACGGGGAGAGGCATTGGTTCTCCCTGTCAGCCCTGGAAGGCACCAGCCCTGCCCACGTCTCCACGGCCAACTTCTGGCTCCAGAACTATGGGAAAATAACTCCCTTTGTTTGTGCCACTCAGTTTATGGCACATCTGTCCCTCGAGGTCCTCGGGGATCCAGGACCACTCCACAGAAACCAAAATCTGGCTGCTCAAGCCCCAGAGCCTAAGACACAGCGTCGTGCTATGCAAACCCCCACGGGTCCTCTGTAGATCACTGACCATCCCCGGTGTGCCAAGCACAGCGGTCAGAGCACGCTGCTTAGGGAATAAGCCCGAAACAGTCTCTCTGGGGGTGGGGGGCCCTGTGAAGTTATCTGGTCTGGTTGTGCCAAGGCAGCTGCAGGCGGGACTCAAACCAGTAAATGCGAATGATGCTGTAAATATCTAAATGGCCCTTGGCAGATACAAGATCCCCCAGGCCTGCTCCATGGCCAGTCCAGAGGTGGGCTTTGGCCCGGTCATTTTCACGCCGTGGTGCTGTCAACCACGTGTAGCCCAGGGAAATGAACGTGGCTACAGCCGGACGCGTCCCCTAGACTCTGCGACTCTGCTACGCATCTGAACAAGGGGCAGGAATGGTCCTGTCCTCACGGGCTTGGCTTCCATCTCTAGATGCCAGCACTCATCGCGGGGGCTGATGGGCTGGCCCGGAACCTGCCATGCTGGAGTGCCGGGGTCACTGTCTCCAGCCCCTGCAGGCTGACCCGCTCGCAGTGGGGAGGGGGGAGGGCCAGTGTGCACAGGGTAGGGGGATGTGGCTGCCCAGGCTCAGTGCCCCCTGGCCTCCCCGCAGCGGCGCCCCTAGTCCTTGGCAGGTGGTCAGGGACTTCTGTGGACCTGGCTGTAGCCCTCCTCAGAGTGCCCGTCTCTCCTTCCCTCCCCAGGCGAGGTCTTACTTATTTATGCCCCACCCCCGAGCGTCTTCCTCTGCTTCTCCCAGCTTGCATCCTGCTACCACCTCTGCGGGGAACCTGCTGCCCAGTAGAACACGAGGGCACTCTGGGAAGTTCATGGAAACATGGAATCAAAAGTCAGGTTCAGAGGCTGGTGTGTGGCACAGTGGGTTGAGCCACCGCATGTGACACCAACATCCCCTATCGGAGCCCTGGTTCAAGTCTTGGCTGTTCCGCTTCTAACTAGCTTCCTACCAATGCGCTTGGGAAGGAATTGGAAGATGGCCCAAGTGGTCAGGCCTCTGCTACCACCTGGGAGACCTGAATGGCATTCCTGGTTTCCAGCTTTGGCCTGGCTGTTGTGGCCACTTGGGGAGTGACCAATGGGTGGAAGATCTCTGTCATCTCTCTCTCCCTCTCCCCTCCCTCTCCGTCACTCTGCCTTTCAAATAAATAAATACACCTTAAAAGGTAGGTTTATTTTGTTGTGAAAAAAATTGAAGTGCATGCATTCTCTTATAGCCCAATTTTTAAAATTAAAAAGAAACAAATGAAATATAAGTCTACTAATACATCCATTGGTCCCAGGAGTCCACAACGTTATCCCAGTACATGCTCAGCCTGGAGCAGTCAGGGGTTGTCTTACAGTCCGTGCATCCTACTCCATCTGTACAACCTGGGGTGTACTCACACTCACAGCCCCCACCAGCCACGGCAGCGGCCGGGTGGCCCCATGTGGCAGTGGCTCCCACACTGGACAGCACAGTTCCAGACACTGCAGGGCAAACTGCCTCTCTCCTGTCCTGGTCACCCCCTTCCCCCACTGGTCACACATCGTCTCTCATATCCCGCCCGAAACATACAGCTTGGGAGGGCCTGCCCATCATGGGCCACCTGGGCCACGCTGTTCCCACCAGCCACCATCACACCCATCCCAGCTCGCCTATGACGCCCCGCCCACCACGCAGAGTGCCTACCGGGCTCCGAGCTGGGTGTGCAGACCAGCACCCGGCCCTCTCCTCCCAGTGCCCAGGGCCAGGTATCACCATTCCTGTCCCTCAAGAGCTGCTTGCTCGGTGGAGGGGAGGGACGACCCAGGAACCCGAGGGCAGGGCCTGGGCTGGGACTCACCAGGCACCGGCAGACGCGGCAGGGGTCCCCTGGCGCCGACCACTCCTGGCCGTGTTCCCGGAACGTGCCGTCCTCTGTGCAGCCTGGGGGGCGGAGAAGGGGCCTGGCCTGAGCTGGCCTGGACCCAGTTCCCCTGCGGGTCCTCCCCCACACGCCCTGTGCCGGCTCTCCTGAGTCGGGACCAGATGAGCTCGGCCTTGGCCTCCCTGGGGCCCACGCCCCTCGGCTGTTTCAGGCCCCAGCCACACCCCTGCCCCACCGATCTCTTCCCCTCACCTCTTTGGGAGCCCTTTGCTGCCACTGACAACTCCTGCCTAAGGCCGGTGGCCCACGCTGGAGTGTCAGTTCCAAGCCTTGGCGGGCGCCGCCCCCTGCTGCGGCAAGGCCCCAGCCTCCTCCAGCCTTCATCCAGCTAACTGCTCTTTCCCCAGCCCCCCAGGGCGCCTTCCCTCCTGTGCCCAGGCTGTCTAGTGCCTGCTTCCTCCCCAGCCGCCTGGTTTTACAATATTGGCGGATGACTCAGTGTCACCCTCTAGTGGTCATTCCTGGAGGCTGATCCAGCGTCTTCTGTGGGCAGGACGCACAGAGCAGGTAATAACATTCCCCATTAATTGAGCAGCCCTATGTGCTATAGAATACTATTATCTGCACCTAACAAGTTGGGAAACTGAGGTCCAGAGTGACTGCCATTAAGAATTTGAGCTCAAGCATTGCAGAACCGTGCCCCACACTGATAGACCCACCCCAGGGCCCATGAGGGAAAGGCTGGGGGCACTCACCTTGGCAGGTTGGGCAGCAGTGCCCAGGCCTCAGGACAGGCTCAGGACAGGGGCTGGGCAGGCACGTCACGGGCACACAGCGAACCAGGCTCCTCTGTAATGCACCGTGGGGGTCATGCCTCTAGGTCTGGCCCCCAGAGGCAGTGTGGATAGGTGTTAGGGCAGGGCTAGAGGGAGGAGGAGCAGGGCCTGGGGCAAGGGGTCAGGGTGGGGGGCTCACCAGGCAGGAGCATTGGAGACAAGGGTTGGAGTGGGACAGGAAGTTGGCCCCTTCCTCATACAGCTGGCCCTCGTACTCACAGCCTGCAGAAGGTGGCCACAGAGTGGGACATCCCCCACAGGAAGGCACGACCCCAAGTAGGATCTGGGCCCCCCAGGGGTGGGAAGGTGGGAAGTGGGGCAGGGCAGGGCAGGAGTCACCTGGCCGGCACACGGGGCAGCACGCCCCAGGTGGGGTGTAGCTCTCCAGACAGTTGAGTTCTGGGCATGAGGTCCTCTGGCACCGCTCGGTCCCTGCCTGCAGGGCAGACACAAAGCGCCCCCTTGCTCCCTCTCTGGGTGACTGTGAGCCCAGCAGGCTTAGTGAGCTCCAGACCCCGGGCCCTGGGCCCCAGATCCGGCTTGGTTTGGCAGAGCCTGGGGTAAGCAGAGCAGCAGGGCCATGGGTGGCCGCTGGGGCCAGGCCTGGATTCCCTTACCTGACAGGTGCAGGTGACACAGGGGTCCAGATGCCATGTTTCCCCAGGCCTGCGGTCCCCAGGGCAGCCTGCAAAACCAGGCCCCGGAGTAAGTGACCCTACCACGGCAAACGGGCTCCATTCAGGGGACAGCTGTCCGATTCTCATATTTATTATGATTCTCTAAGCGTCTGACTGCAGCCTAAGCTGGGTACCTCCGCTCTTCAGCAACAAGAGGTGGAACTGTCCTGAGGAATAAGTTGACTTTAATTTCACCAAAGGCATCACGTGGGCTAGTGGTGGCCCTGCGGCCCCACGCGCCATGGCAGCTGCGTGTGTGGGTCCCATTTTTCCGAGATCCACCACCTCCCAAGACTTCAGCTCTTATCTCTGGTTAAGACCCCAGAAGTCCCTGGGTCCCTGCCCTACCCCCTCACTCCCGCCTGAGACCCAAGCCCGGGTATGGTTGCCAGATAAAGTGCAGAACACTCAGCTAAATTTGCATTTCAGATTTAAACAATATAATATTTTAGTATGAGAACGTGCCATAAAATGCACAAGTATGACACATCAATCAGAACTGGTTTTAGAGGCCAGCATTGTGGAAGAGTGGGTAGAGCTGCTGTCTGCAAGGCCGGCATCCCATATGGACATGGGTTCGAGTCCCAGCTGCTCCACTGTGAAGACTCAAATGGTTAACAGGCAGTCAGGCTGGTCCCCTGGTAGAAATTTGGAATAGCGAGGTGCCTGCTCCCCCCAAAAGGTTATCTTTAGCAGATCAAAGTGTCTTGCTTCTTTAGGAATCTCCAAATTTACAAATTTAACTTCAGAATTAGCAAGGGAGTGGTGAGTTCTCCCCCACCCTGATGGGTACCTTTTTTTTTAATCACCAGTGAGCCAGACAGGATGGACAATTGGAAATCAGGTCTTTTGTTGACCTTGCTGATTGACAGTTTGGTCCCCACGATTGTACTTAAAAACCCTATTGCTACGGGGCCTTCTGGGTTTTTTCCTCTCTTGGAAGCCCCCCTCCATCCTGCTCTGGCTGGAGGTCTTTGACTCTAATTAATCTATGTAAATCTCTGCCGTCTGCTTGGAAATCCTTCTTCCACGTGAGGCAAAGAACCGAGGTAACAATAATTTCTCTGCGCCATTTTCCCGTAACACCGCTTCCAATCCAGCTCCCTGCGAATGCACCTGGGAGGGCTGCAGAAGATGGTCCAAGAGTCTGGGCCCCTGCACCCATGTGGGAGACCCGGATGCAGCTCCTGGCTTCACTTCAGCCTGGCCAGCCCTGGCCACTACAGCCATTTGAGGAGTGAACCAGTGGATGGAAGATCTCTCTCTCTCTCTAACTCTGCCTTTCAAATAAATAAAGTAAATCTTTTAAAAATTGCAAATTAGATAAGAATATGTCAAGAGTTGCATGGGCTATACTTGTACTAAACAATTGTGTGTTTATCTACAGTCCAGTGCATCAGGGTGTCGTGTATTTTATTTGCTGACGCTGGCCCCCTTGTCCTAACTGTGAGTCGGTGACACCCCCAGAGCACTGCCTCCTCTCCTCCTGTCGCTGGCATCATGGCCCTTCCAGGTTCCCAAGCTCTGCCTCCACAGTGCCCTGGGATCCTTGCAGCCACCAGCTCCTGCAGTCCCTTAGAAACGTGGCCCTCTGCCACCCCTGGCTCCGGGCCTGGACAGCTCTCCGTATCTAGCCCATCCCGGACAACTGCGCCTGAGAGATCTCTGTGCACATGCCACACCCTGGGTCTTCAACCTTCAGTGGCTCCCCAGTGCCCACAGACAAAAGTCTACACTGCAAAGCTTGCAACAGCCTGTTCCCAGGGGGCTTCCCAGACTGCCTTCCAGGGACATGGCTCCTGTGCCCCTGCGTTCTCTCTCTCCTTTTGCTGAACTCCCTCTTTGCCCTTAAAGATGCAGGTCAGATGACCCCTGTCTCTGCCCTCCCGTCCCCTGCTCTTGGCCGCACTGGTTTCCCTTGTACCTTATTTTTTTAAGATTTTTTATTTGTTTATTTGACAGGTAGGGTTACAGACAGTGAGAGAGATAGAAATGTCTTCCTTCTGCCACGGCCGGAGCTATGCTGATCCGAAGCCAGGAGCCAGGAGCTTCTTTCCTGGTCTCCCACATGGGTGCAGGCGCCCAAGCACAGTGGGCCATCCTCCCCTGCCTTCCCGGGCCACAGCAGAGAGCTGGACTGGAAGAGGAGCAACCAGGACTAGAACCTGGCACCTGTATGGGATGCCGGCACTGCAGGTGAAGGAATAACCAAGTGCGCCACCGCGCCGGCCCCCCTTGTACTTGATTTAATCGCGGGTTGTTTTGCTCACAGTGCCCCTAGGATCCATGGGCCAGATCATAAAATACACTTCGTAGCCTAGGTGTGTGGTAAACTACACTATCTAGGCTTGCACAATCATTTATTTATTGTTTGAAAGGTAGAGTCACACACACACACACACACACACACACACACACGTCTCTTATTTGCTGTTGACTCCTCTAAATGGTTGCAACAGCCAGGGCTGGGCCAGGCAGTAGCCAGGAGCCTGGGACTCCATCCTGGTCTCCCACATGAGTGGCAGGGGCTCAAATACTTGGGCTATTTTCTGCTGGATTGGAAGTACAGAAGAGCCGGGACTCAAACCAGACACTCTGATAAGGCCTGCGGGTCGTTCCTAGTGGGGCTTAACCTGCTGTGCCCGCCCTGCCTCCTAGGTGCCTCCATAAACACACTCTACGATGCTTGTACAATGAAATCAGCTAACGCCCCAGCTCTCAGGAGGTATCCCTGTCCTTAAGCAATGACTGTACTGCCTTCTGCACCTCTGGATCTGGTCCTTGTAGGAGATTAGCTATAAAGTTATCTTCTCAACTAGATCAGAAGCTCTGAGAGCAGCAAAGATCACACACGTCTATTTCCCTTACAGTCTCTGGCCCTGTGCCAGGTCCAAGGCACCGTATTTGCTGACGTGGATGTTAGTTCTGAACTCCCCCAGCCACTGCCAGAGTGGCAGGCAGAGGCAGACTGTGGCTCTCGGGTCCCCTGAATGTGTGCAGGAGGTGGGCGAGACGGGCGCAGGCTGACCTGGTGCACAGTGTGGGCAGCATGGTCCTGGCTCAGCACAGGGGCCTCCTGGGCACGGCTTCGGGGAACAGGTGACGGCCCCTTCCTGTGGAAGCAGACCAGGCTGGCTGCAAGGCATCAGATCCCTGGAGGGCATGGCCACCAGGACCCACCTCAACCCAGGCTGGGAGCAAGGGCACAGGTGGGCTCAGGGTGCGTGGGCTGCCCTAGTCCAAGGGCAGCAAAGAGACCACCCACCCCACCCCCATCATCTGGTGCTCCTGGCCCTGGAAACCATCTCTTCCATGTGCCAGCAAATTCCCCAGAGTGGACAAATCCTAGGAAGAGAACCAAGGGCTTCCTCAATGGAGGAGGGTGGCGAGGCCAGGCAGATGTGGGGAACAGGCAGGCCAGGGGGTTCGAGGCAGAGGACAGGGCAGGTGAGAGGGTGGGGTGATGAAGCAGTGAGCGGTTGCCAGGTGCACCTCGGGGGCCGGGGACCCCACCCTCTGCTCGGCAGTCGAGCTCCAGAAAGTGGAGCCTCTTGCAATCAGGTGAAGTGCACTGGCAGCAAGGTTCGGGGATGGGTTGGGGACAGCACCCATCGCATAACGTCTGGCGCACTGCACTGCAGCCGCAGGCGGCTGGAGTGAGGCAGACAGGCGAGGGGGCAGGAAGGGGACATCCAGGTGCATGGTGGCACTCACCAGGCAGAGGCAGGTAGTACAGGCATCGGGGGAGAAGGTCTCCCCGTTGCCATAGGCCTGACCACTGTGGCTGCAGCCTGCGGGGGAGACAGAGCTGACACTGGGGAACCCCAGATGGCCCCAGAGGGCAGATGGGGTGGCACTTACCACGGCACTGGGGCACGTGGGGCTGGGGGTGGCAGCGCGCCGCCCCATCCCGGCAGACACAGGCTGTGCAAGGGTCAGGCTCCCAGCGAGCACCCTCAGGCCAGGTGCGCCCGAGCCCCCAGCACTGGGGAGGGGCCGGGCGGCAGTCGCAGGCCTCCAGCAGCCTCACTCTGGCCTGCAGGTCCTTGTTCTAGTGGACGGAGGTGTGTGGTGTAGGGGGGTGGGTAGCAGGCACTGGCTCAACACCCTCCCCCACACAATGTCTGGCAGAGTTGCAGGGGTGTGAAAACAGGCATGGGAAGGAAATGTGACCAGCTCAGACAGCACCCAGGGGAGCCTGGACACCCCCCCCAGGCCTTAACCCATCCAGAATATTTCCTGGGAGTGCCTCATGCACAGTATGAGCTCCGCGTGTTTGCCAAAAACAAGACGGAGTAAAAGTTGGGATTGACAGCAAACATGCAAACATCCTATCCGTGTTAACAAAGTGCTCAGGTAAGAGCTTCCCATGTGCACTGAAAACAGAGCCCTGTCTTAGGGTCCCCAGGGATCTCCCCCACATGGCCCTGGGGCCATGGTACCTGCTGTCTGAGCGCCGTCACCTCCGCCTCCAGCCAGCCCAGTTTCTCCTCCAGGGGGCGCCATTGCTCCTGCAGGCCCCCAGCAGGGACCAAGGAGTGGGCAGGAGCCTGCTGCTGTGAGTCATGGGTGTCAGTAAGCCCACCTGAAAGGCACAGGAATGCAATGGGGGCCTGAGGGCTGGGCACGGGCACGGGTTCCTGGGTGCTGTCCTCCAAACCGGGCAGAGGAGGAGGGCCGCCCAGGCTCCTGCCCTGTCCACCTGCCCACCTGCATCTCCCAGGGAAGAGAGATGGCGGGCGGGGGTGTGGAAGGAGGAGGCCCTGTGGACAAAAGTGCCCAGGACTAACCGTCCCTCCTGATCGGGTGTAAGCCCCAGGGCCCCAGGTGGCTGAGGGCACAGAGCAGCACCCAGACGGGGTCTCCCCACAGCCTGCCCTGACTCTGTGGGGCGGGGACCCTGTAGGACATCTTGGGCCTTCGGGGGGCCTGGGGAGCTGACGCTTCATGCTGGGCAGGCCCAGAAGCCAGCCAGGCTGACCTGCAGCGGCGTGACAGGTGCCCGAGAGGTGAGGCAGCTTCCGGGTGCCTGGGGTCTGGTGGGAGCTGCGCCTGCTGGGAGAGTCTTTTCAGGGAGCACCTGAGTGGCCCCCACCCCACAGGTGAGCACCTCTTACACCTGTCAGAAGGCTCATCCTGTTTGGAGAACGTGCCCAGGGAGGGGCCAGTGCTCCTCCTGTTCCCACCCCCAAACCTGACCATGTTACCAGGCTTGTGGCAGCGCTCCCAGGACCCCCACCCACCACTGCATTGGGGGAGGGGCTACAGAAACTGGGCCGGACTCTCTTTCCTCCTACCCCTCCCTCCTCCCTCCCTCCCTCCCCCTCCTCCTCCTCCTCCCTCCCTCCCTCCTTCTTTCTTTCTTTCTTTCTTTCTTTCTTTCTTTCTTTCTTTCTTTCTTTCTTTCTTTCTTTCTTTCTTTCTTTCTTTCTTTCTTTCTTTCTTTCTTTCTTTCTTTCAGAGAGAGGGTCACACAGATCTGCCAATTCACTTCCCAAATGCTCACAACAGGCAGGGCTGGATGAGGCTGAAGCCAGGATCCAGAAACCCAATCCAGGTTCCCCTACGTGGATGTCAGGGACTCAACTACTTGAGCCATCACCTGCCGGTTCCCAGGAGGTGCCTTCGGGCAGCTGGAATCGAGAGCGGAGCCGGGACTTGAACCCAGGCACTCTGATGGGGGACACAGCCTCTCCCTGGTTTGCGTGGACACCCCGTCGGGGAGGGGAGGGAGATGCGCCTGGGGAGGCTCATCTCACCTTCTTACTGGGATCCCCCGCCAGGTAAACGAGGGGAACAGGCTGGCTCCTGGGGTTGCTCCCCAGACTCTGGCCCGGAAGTCCTGGCCGTGGCTCCTGCCACCCTCTCCCACCCAGTTCCCCAAGCCAGAAGTCTGGGACTTGCCCTCCTCTTCTGTGCCTCTCTCAAATCCCAGCAGCCTCTGGACTCCCAGGAGGCCCCTAATGCACACCTCTCTCCTGCGCTCCACCTGCTCTTCTCTCAGAACCACACAGCGGGAGGTGACAGTAGCTCGGGCACACGTGACCTTGCACGGGTGCCACCTCCTCCGCCCGTGCAGGGGGCAGTCACTCCATCCTGGGCCGGCTCCTGGGCCAGCCTCAGGGACGGGGTCTCCGGCTCTCAAGCCCTCCAGCCACACTTGCCTCCTCTCCTGCCTCCCGCTCAGGCCTGCTCAGCAGGGAGAAGCAGGAAGGGGGTCTCCTGGCGCCGGCAGGTGAAGACAGGGCCAGTGCCTTGCCCAGGGAGGTGGCCGAAGGAGCTGCATGAGCGTGGCTGCTCCTGGCTCAGCTTCTCCTGCCCGGCGCTCGCAGGAGCCTGGGGCGGGGTCCGGCCAGACAAGGAGACCAAGTCAGCTCCCAGAGCCGGCCTCCTCTCGCCTGTCTCAGGACAAAAATAACGAACTCCAGACTCCCAGCGCACGCTTCCCCGGTTGCAGCCGGAGGCCCCCTCCGCCCCTGGGACCCGATCCCGGCCGCCGCTCCCGCATCTCCACCGTCGGGAGCGCGGCGGCTGGCCCGAGGGGCGCGTCCCAGGCCGGGAGAAGCGGGCGGGTCGGGGCCGCCGGAGCCGCCGATCGGGCCGCGCAGGGGGCTGGGGCGTGGCGCCGGAGTCTGGCCGTGGGACTCACCTCCCGCGCTCGCACCCACGGCCGGCGCCAGGCTCCAGAGCTGCAGAAGCAGGGGCAACAGCGCGCCCGCGGCCCCCGCCATGCTCGCTCCGCCGCGTCGTCTGCCGGCCGCTCCCCCGGCGCTGGGGGGAGGCGGGGTGGGACACACAGGCCGCCTCCCACCCGGCCTTTGTTCGGGGAGGGGCCCTGGGCAGCCTCATCCCGTCCCGAAGTGACCCCCTCTGTGAAGCCGGGCGGGCTGGGGACGAGTCTCCTGCGCAGGACCCAGGAGGAGCCCTCCGCAGGAACCCCAAGGTCCCCCGCTCTGGGCTGCCCGCCGCCACTCCCGCCCCTTGGGGTCACTCCTCCGCTGGGCCCGCAGGCAGTCTGAGCTGGGTTCCAATCCCTGCAGTCGACTCCCTGTGGCCCCTAACTGCTCTGCGCCTCAGTTTCCCTGCTTGCAAACTGGGGATCACGCTGTCTACTTGATTGATGCATGTGCAGTGAGAATTTACACGTGAGAGTGTCCAGACAAAGAAAACGGTCAGCAGAGAACAAATGGTAACAGGAGGTGTCACCCCCACCGTGGGAGGTCAAGGGTGGCCTATGGTTTTGCCCTGGACAACACTCACTCACCAGCCTCCCCACCCCAAACGTGGAGGCCACCCTCACTGGCTGGTCCCAACCCCATCTCTCGGCTTCTCAGATCAGGCCTAGGCTGCGTGTGGAGTGAGGCTGAGTAGGGGGCAGGGCTGTGCTCTGGGCTCAGCAGGAGGAGGGGGCTGATGGGAGGAAGTGAGGGAAGCCGGCTTGCCTGGGCCCACGGCTGGGAAACTCCTTAGTGCAGCTGGGATGCAGAGGGGGTGGGGGTGGGGCTGGGGCCGGGCTCACGGGCAGGACTGTGCAGGCGGAGCTGTGAGTTCTGCCAAAGCAGCCTCCCTCCCTGCCCTGGGGACAGAGACAGAGGCGCCCCAGCCCCCAGGCCTCCAGAGCCCAGCCCTGGGCCCAGGGGGTCTCCACAGCATTGGGAGGGCGGCTTCAGAGCCCAGAAGCTGGCGGCCAGGAGCTGGGGTCACAGCCCAGGGGACGAGAGCCAGTGACTACATTTCTCTCCTTCATGGGACGCTATCTCATAGCAGTCAGCATGAATGAAATAAGCTGCTAAGTAAAGTGTGGGGACAAATTCCATCCTGCGGGCTCCAGCCCCGTTCTGTGCCCGGTCACCCCCACCCACGTCCGTGTAAGCAGTAGGAACCGCCTGGGTGTTGCTCTGTACCCTTGGCATGGCACGTGTGGCCTAACAGGCACCTTGCACACCTCCCTGAGTTGGTTTAGGTGCAGGATCCCAGCCCCGCCCCCATAAAACCCTTGGCAGCTCACCTTCCAGTTGCCTCTCTCAGTGGTCCCCAACTCAGCCTGTCCACCCCAGGCACAGGGCCTGGCTGCCTGGAATAGATCTGGGATTCCATTTCCCAGTCTGGCTTCGCCTCTCCCAAGCTCAGCCTCCGCAGCCAGCAGAGCCCCTCCGGGAGGGGTCTCCTCAGCCCCCACAGGCCCACCTGAGGCAGGAAAGTCCATCAACATCAGGTGTGCTCCCGGTTGGGACCCAGGACCTGCGGTGCACAGTGTTCTGTTTCGGTTCTGCTGTGGAGACACCAGGCGGTCGGGCTGAGCATCTGCACCAGGCATCGGAGCCCACGTGTGTGTGTGTGTGGGGGGGGGTGGCGGGAGGGGGCCAAGTGCCCAGCGTGACTGTGACTGTGAGCCCCAGGTTCTGCAGTCTCTGGGGAGCAGAAAGCCACCCGTCTCCTGCCGCTTCTCCACTCTCTGAGCGCCTGGGGATCCCATCAGGCTAAGGGTAGAGGGGGAAAGGAGGGGACGTACGTGTGGGTCCCTTCCTGCATTCCCTCTTCTCCTCACCCCCTTCTATTCCTGTGTAGGTTTTATTTATTTATTTATTTTATATATTTGAAAGACAGAATTACAGAGAAAGGTAGAGACAGAGGTTTTCCATCTGCTGGCTTACTCCCCAAGTAGCTACATTGGCTGGAGCTGAGCTGATCCAAAGCCAGGAGCCAGGAGCTTCCTCCGGGTCTCCCATGTGGGTGCAAGGGCCCAAGGACTCGAGCCATCCTCCACTGCTTTTCCAGGAGCATCAGTAGGGATGCTGGATCAGAAGTGGAACAGCCGGGACTCGAACTGGCGTCCATATGGGATGCTAGCACTGCAGGCCAGGGCTTTAACCCACTGTGCCACAGCACAGGCCCCTGTGCTCTGTGTTTTAATTGCTGATACAGTGGCCCCTGGGCACTGGTCATAAGGCTAATGCCAAGAGGAATCTGAATGCTCAATTTTAATTCACTGAACCGCTTTTAGTATAAACTGTCATATGTAGTGTGAGTCGTGAGGAAAGAAGCCTTGAGGGAGGCTTTCGAAGTGGGGTTGGGAGACCAGGAGTCCGTACACCCCCAGCAGCTGCCTGGAATGCGGGGGCCTGTTCTCCTTCCTGCTTTGATGGCAGGCGTCTTCGTGACTGGACAATTCCACTGAGTCCAGAGGCTCCAGACACAGGTCAAAAGGCTATCAGATGTCTGCTCATTTTCTGGACATTTCTATTTGGCTTGTTCATTCCTTTCTTCTAAAAATGTGTGTTTTCATTTACTTAAAAGACAAAAGAGATGCATAGAGAGAGAGAGACAGAGAAAGAGACACAGAGATAGGGATCTTCCATCTATCAGTTCATTCCCCATATGTCCACAACAGCCAGGGCTGAGTCAGGCTGAAGCCAGGAGCCAGGGGCTCCACCTGGGTCTCTCCCACGTGGGTGGCAGGGGTCCAGGTACTTGGGCCATCATCTGCTGCCTCCCAGGGTGAGCAGGAGCAGGGAGCTGGGTTGCAAGTGCAGCAGCCAGGACTCGATCCTGTGTTCCTATGTGGGATGTGGGAATCCCAAGTGGTGGCTTGGTCAGCTGTGCCACAATGTCCACTCCAGTTCATCCCCGTTAAAGATGTATTTTTTAAAAATTTATTTGAAAGGCAAAGTAACAGGGCGAGAGAGAGGGATCTTCCATCTGCTGATCTACTCCTCTGATGGCACAACAGCCAGGTCTAAGCCAGCTGAAATCGGGAGCCAGGAACTCCATCCAGCTCTCCCACGTGGGTGGCAAGGGCCCAGGTACTTGGACCGTTTTCTGATGAGCTTCTAGGCACATTAGTAGGAAGATGGGTTGGAAGCTGGGTAGCAGGGACTAGAGACAGCACTCTGATAAGGGATGCTGGCATCGCAAGCAGTGGCTTAGTCTGCTATGCCACAATGCCAGGCATATCTGTGTTGTCTTTCATTATTATTATTATCTGACAGGTAGAGTTATAGATAGTGAGAGAGAGAGACAGAGAGAAAGGCCTTCCTTCCGTTGGTTCACTCCACAAATGGCTGCTATGGCCGGCGCTGCACTGATCCGAAGCCAAGAGCCAGGAGCTTCCTCCCAGTCTCCCACATGGGTGCAGGGCCCAAGGACTTGGGCCATCCTCCACTGCCCTCTCAGGCCACAGCAGAGAGCTGGACTGAAAGAGGAGCAGCCGGGACTAGAACCTGGCTCCCATATGGGATGCTGGTGCCGCAGGCGGAGGATTAACCAATGAGCCAAGGCACCAGCCCCCCATCTGTGTTGTCTTTAACCTGTCACATAGTCCCTGTTCTTTCTCAACATTCGGTAGAAGTTTCCCACACAGGGATTTTTACTGCTCTGTGGTAACACTGCTTGCCTATGCAAGCTTGGCTTTCCCTGTCTCCTGCAGAACACCGATGTGGAGGTTCCCAAAAGGTAACTCTTAGGGCCCCAAAGTGCTTTTAGCTTTACAGCTTCTGGGTTTGAATTGCTCAGCATCACCCAGTGGTGCAGAGTACACAGCATGTGTTTACACTGAAGGCAACTGTGTATGAATTAATAAAATTGGCCGGGGGCCAGCGTTGTAGTGTAGTGTGCTAAGCCGCTGCCTGCAGCACCGGCATCCCATATGGGCGCTGGTTCAAGCCCCAGCTGCTCCTTTTCCGATCCAGCTCTCTGCTATGGCCTGGGAAAGCAGTAGAAGATGGCCCAAGTCCTTGGGTCCCTGCACCCATGTGGAAAACCTGGAGGAAGCTCCTGGTTTCTAGCTTTGGATAGGTCCAGCTCTGGCCATTGTGGCCATCTGGGGAGTGAACCAGCGGATAGAAGACCTCCTGCTCTCTGTCTGTAACTCTGCCTTTAAAATAAATAAAATGTTGAAAGAAAGGAAGGAAGGAAGGAAGGAAGGGAGGGAGGGAGGGAGGGAGGAAGAAAATTGGCCACTTCTCCAGACAGCCACTTGCATTGGCTGGGAAAGTTCTGAAATGGAGCCATGGCTATGACACAAGGAACAAGGCCCCCAGAGGTGTGCAGCACCGGGCCCCTGGCGGCAGCCCCACATCCAGGCCCTGTCCTCCCTGCCTGCTGGAGACAGTCACTACGGCGCCCCAAGGGAGGGTCGCACAGGTGATCCTAACTCACGCTCGCGTGTGCTCTAGGAGATGGGTGCTGCGGGGGTCCTCAGGGAACTCAGGTTCAGAGAATTAAGTGGTTCAGCCGGAGAGGAAGCGAGCCCTCGCCCCAGCTCTGGCTGGTTCCAGACCCATAACCACAGTGGAGACTTCCGCCTGCTCCTCTCCCGCAGCCCGTGACTTCTGCATGCTGAGAACTTCCACTTCTCCTCGGGCCCCTGCGGCTCCTCTGAGCACTGGTTCTTCCCCTGCCGCAGCATTCGGGTCACTGGCTCTCGGGCAAGGGGCTGGGAGCACCCCAAGGGCAGGTCTCTGCCGTCTGCCACTGCCCTGTTTCTTCGCAGAAGAAGACCACTCACCCCGTCACCTGGATTTTTAACAAAACCTGCTGCAGTGACTGGTCTCTGCCAGTGGTTGATGACTGGTTTGTTTGCTTGCTTACTTATTTATTTAAAGATTGATTGATTGATTTGAAAGGCAGAGTTACAGAGACAGAGAGCTCTTTATCCACTGGCTCACTCCCCAGATTGCAGCAATAGCCAAGACTGGGCAGACTGAAGCCAGCAGCCAGGACTTCCTTCTGGGTCTCCCATGTGGGTGCAGGGGCCCAAGGACTTAAGCCATTTTCTGCTGCTTCCCCAGGCCATTAGTAGGGAGAAGAATTGGAAATGGGGTAGCCAGGACTCAAACTCGTGCTCATATGAGATGCTGGTATTGCTGGTGGTGGTTTAACCATTGCTCCAAAATACTGGCACTCCTAGTCACTTTTTTAAAAAGATTTATTTATTT